TTGAAAACATTTTTTTGGTAACAGAATTTGTTTTGTCATCTAGATCTAGTTCTATTTTTACTGACTACTTTTATTCAGATGTATTTAATATGTACACTTGTTCTCTGCATTCTTGGTTGTCCTAAAAATGTGATGAAATGAATTTTAACAATTAGGTTTTAGAAGGTTTTCATGTGATAAAATCGACTTTTGGGGATATACAGTTCTAGTTTTAACATATATAGAAACTCACACCACCACCACCACCACCATAGTACAGAATAATTCCATCATTCCAAAATTCCCTTATGCTACCTCTTTGTAATAAATCATCACTGTCCTGATCCCTGGCAACCATTAATTTGTTCTCTGTCCCTGTAATTTGCGTTTTCCAGAATGTTAAGTAGATGGAATCATGCAGTGTTTAATCTTTGGAGACCACCCTCTTTCACTCAGTATAAGGACTTTGAGATTCAGACAAGTGGCTGCATCTGTCAATTGTCTCTTTTCTTTTTTTACTGCTGAGTAGTATTCCTTTGTACAGATGTACCACAGTGTGTTTATCCATTTACCTGTTGTAGGGCATTTAGATTATTTCCAATTTAGGGCAGTTATGAATAAAGTTGCTCTGAACATTTTTGTAACGGTTTTTGTGTGCATTTAAGCTTCTGTGTCTTGAGCTAAATCCCCAGAAATGGGATCGGTGGGTCATACATTAAGTGTGTATGTGTAACTTTGTACAGAACTGCCAAACATGGCAGTGTTTTGCATTCCCACCAGCAATGTATAAACTATAAAAAAATTGAATTGCTATTTTAATGCTCTGAGGTTGAGGTTGGCAAGTTGTGTTCATAGTTCCTTGGGGTTTGGAAGAGATGCCCCATGACAAAAGGAGCCGTTACGTCTTCCATAGCAGCTTCTTCAAAGAGAACTGCTCCAGTTTTGTTTTGTTTTATGTATTGAGTTCCATGTAGAATACATTTGGGGAAAAAGAGAGGTTTATCTGTAAAGTGTTGGAAAACCACTGTAGTAAGGTGGTGTTTCCAGAGCTTGGGACATGGATCATGGGTGTCAACTAGAGGAACACTAGGTGGCGCTCCAGGACTCCGCAGGTAGTGGGGACCAGGCTGTGAGACCTTGGACTCCCTTTTCAGTTCCTTTTCAGTGCACATCTCTGTCAAGGTCTTCAGGTCCTAACATTCACCAACACTTGTTAATGGCCTCATTTACAACGACAGAGTAGGCTTCTGTCCCAGAGCCTTCAGCAAGCAACATCTATCTAGAATGAAATAAACATACTGCTTTGTTTTTACTATATTATTTTTGCAGTTATCTTTTCATTTATGACGGGTACCACAGGTTTTCCAGTTTTCTTTTGAAGAAACTTTACAATGTGAGTCATTTGAAATAAAAATATTAAATATTTGTATACCTCATTCACAAACATGGCAAGAATTTTTGAGACTATGCTAGTCTAGACTGAAATTCGGGAGACTTTTAAAAAGGGGGGCTATTTATTTAGATAGACCTTGAAGTGGATCTTTTTGTCAAGTGGAGAGTTCCTCTGTAAAGTATGTAACTATCTCAGTTTTTTTAATGAATTTAAAAGTAGAGTCTTAAAAGTCCATCTTCTCTTACTCTTTGTTTTTGATACACTTATTTTTCAAGTTTCTTCTTTATTTACTGATTTGACAAATATTTATTAAAATTATTAGGGGGATGTCAGGGCACGATCTCGTGGTTCTGGGATTGAGTTTAGCGTTGGGCTCCCCCAGGGAGCCTGCTTCTCCCTCTGCCTGTGCCTCTGCCTCTCTCTGTGTGTCTCTCATGAGTAAATAAATAAAATCTTAAAAAAAAATAAAAATCATTAGGAACACTGGGGTACAGTAGTGAAGTAAGCAGTCAGGGTCCCCAGTCTTGCATAACTTACTTTCTTTGATCCTTACTCCTTCTCCTCTCAGAGGCTGACCAGGGAAAACAAGGGCCTCTGGATAAAATTTAAATGATGCAAACAGGTAAAGAAGAGATAAATGACTTTTTTTTTTTTTAAATTTTCTTTTTATTTATGATAGTCACACAGAGAGAGAGAGAGAGGGAGAGAGGCAGAGACACAGGCAGAGGGAGAAGCAGGCTCCACGCACCAGGAGCCCGACGTGGGATCCGATCCCGGGTCTCCAGGATTGCCCTGGGCCAAAGGCAGGCGCCAAACCGCTGCGCCACCTGGGGATCCCGATAAATGACTTTTTTAAAAAAGTTATTTTAATACCGTCATATGGAAATTTATTTTATTTATGTTCCTGGAGCCATCTAGATGTGTACTTTGTCTTTTTGAAACATTTTGCTTATTATTTTGGCAAAATAATATGTACCTACAGACATAGTGATGAACAATATGACTTTTTGAGGTTCCTTCCAACCTTAAGTACTTAGGAGAGGGTATTACAGACAAGGAGTGATGTTATTGTCAGAATACCCATTGATACCAGCACCTCTCTGAAATTCGACATCTTTTACATTAGAGGTCACAAGTTAACAGCTACCTGAGTTCTGTTCAGTCACTGGTGTTTCTTGTTTGGCCACCTGGTATTTAAAAAGCTAAAAAAAAAAAATAGTTTTCAACATTTAAAATAAAAAACTTTCACATAAAAAAAATCAAAATGGATATCTTGTTTATTTTGAAAACTCATGAATCTGGCACTACTTAGCTTTTCTGAATGACAGAGTTGGCTGTTGTTGAATAGTGACTGCCTTTTTGCACAGAACACATACTCTCATCAGGTAATCTTGCTTAAGTTATTCATGTTACCTTTCTGGCTTTGGTGGGTATTTGCATTAGGAATTCCTGCTTTACCCACGTGGAACCCAGTCTTCATGCAGGAGACGCACCTAGAGAAAATGAGTTTTCTTCCCTAGGTCAGAGAGCTAAAAATGTCACCACCCTCGAAGCTCACTGAGTGTCCAACTGGGTGAATTGCCTGGTGTAGAAGTTGTAACTCTGGACTCAGGAAGCTGAGATCAGGGTCCTTTTCTTGGCTACAGCTAGTCACATTATCTTGGATCCTTTAACAGTGGAGTACTATTTCCTATCTTATCTTTCTGTATCAGTTAGTTTTTGATTGTAAGCAACAGAAACAGATTCTGGTGAATTTGAACAAAATGGAACTTGATTGAAAGGATATTGGATAACTCCGTGGTATCAAAAGAAGAAGAATGATCTCTACTTAGAAAGTTCAGGAAACCAAGAATACTTTGAGGGCCACGGGTGGTAGGAACTAAGGAAAATGATAAATGGCCTCCAAATTTTTTCCCTTTCTTTGTCATTCTTCTTAAGTATCTGAAGTCCTAGAAGAGCAAATCAGGTTGGCCTAGCCCACACCCTTCATGGGAGAGAGTGGGATACTTTAGTTGGCAGTCTCTCTAAGACTGCATACAATAAAAGACGTCCCTAAAAGAAGGTTTGATGTTGTTACAGGAAAGGGGAACCGGGTCTGGATAGAAGGCTACCAGACAACAAATGTTCACTATACCTCCTCTCAAGGCTGTCCTGGAAGACATTTCTGTATACACTATAAAATGCCATAGAGGAGTAAGGAAGGAGTACTTCCAAGTTACATGAAAACAATTGTAAGTATGCTCTTTAAGCAAGTGAAGGCATTGGCATCAGTTCGATAAGGACTAGTACAAAGAAAGTAACAGATTCATTCCTTTTAGTGGGATCCTGAAGACCCGGGATCGAATCCCACGTTGGGCTCCCTCCATGGAGCCTGCTTCCCTACCTCTCTCTCTCTCTCTCTCTGTGTGTTGTGTGTGTGTGTTTCTCATGAATAAATAAATAAAATCTTAAAAAAAATCCTTTTAGCAATTGCTTTGGGTATAGCATCTCCAAAGAAGCCACACCAACTTTAAATGGAAAACATCTCTAAATTCTTGAGATTTCTATTTCAGTTGTATGAAGATAAATATGTGTGATGAAAAGTTTTATCATTAAAACTCAAAAAGGCATTTGGTCACTTACATTTCAGGTCCCAGTAGAATACTCTATATTGTTTTCTGAATTGTTTTTTATAATGTTACATGAATTTGTGTGTTTAAAATGCATGTATAAAAAAAATAAAATACATGTATGTAGAACTAGCACACAGGAGTGAGTTGTAGACAAAATTGAAATGATAACTTTCAAATTCAAGTTTCGGTGTAATGCTTCTTGTTAGAGTGAGCAGTTGTGCTAGGGCTTCAGCAATTTCTAAAAGCAACATCTGACCTTTTGCAATACCAGGTAGAAGCTTGAGTGTTTTTGTACTCTCCTGTGAGCCTAATTTCTTTTAAGGACCAGAGCAGTGACTGTTGAATAACTGATTCTTCCTCAAATCAGAAATCTGCTGTGCATGAGCATCCCTGTACATAATTATTTGAAATATGTAGTGGATTTTTAAAGCTGGAAGGATTCATTGAGATTGAATTTGATTTTTTTGTACTCTTATTGTTCCTTTCTTTGCAAGCTCTTGTTTTGCAACAAGCAAGGAAAATGAGTGGACCCCCCCCCCCCAAATTGCTGGCATGGCTGGAAATAGAAATTAATGATTCGAATACAAGAGGCAGTGCAGAAATCCTCAGCTGGGTGGCAGGAAACAGAGAGAGTGAAAGTCAGAGACTGCTCTTTTTCAAAAGGCAAAACAAACAACTCACAGTGAAGTGTACGTGAAAATCATTTCTAATAATAGCTCATGGGAGACAGTTCCCAGGAAAAAGACCATTGGTGCACTGAGGAAATTAGAGCGAGAACACACAGTATCTCGATGTGTTACTTAAGGCAATGGAGCTTTAGAGTTTACCTTATGTGCCTTGTACATTGATTAAATACAAAATATATGCTGGCCATTTTGACCATCATTTACTGTATTGATTTGTTAGCAGGGGAACTGTAATAAAAAAGCCATTGATTTACTGTCCTTATTTGCTTATGGGCTTTTTTTATTATTAATTTTTCACGTTCTTTCTTTTTTTTGGACCATTTCTCCTAGACAAATGCTGTGCTTCATGAAGTTAGAAGAGAAGGGGTCCCTGTGGAACAAAGGAATGAAATCTTGACCGCCATCCTTGCCTTGCTCACTACACGCCAGAACCTGAGGAGGGAGTGGCATGCCAGGTTAGTTGTGTTACAAAATGGGGATTTGTTGTTCCTAAAAAACAAGAGCTGTAATTCGGCCGAGCCCTTCCTTACAGTGAGTGGGTCTCGTCCCTCTGATTTGAGGACCCATGAAAAATAAGCGAGTTATAGTTGCTTTCAGCCAAAGTTAGCTCTGCTGCATATGGTACCTACATTAATTGAAATGAGCCATGATGTCATCTGTAGGTGTATATGATTTATCCCTGAGTGTAACACTTCACATAAATGTTTGCATCCTGAGCATAATATAATAGTAGTACCTGATGCTGAAGGACCCTTTTAATCAACAGTCTAAAAGACTAACATTGCTATTTAGTTAGGGCAGATGTCTGGGAAATTCACATAGTGCTTTTACATCACTCAGTGAGAGCAGATTGCCTGAAAGTGGTCTATTCATCAACCCCAGTTTTAGAACTGGCCAAGTAGGAATTATGTTGGCTTCAACCTCATTTCTTTGCTCATGGACTTACCTGCGATTAGAAAGCTGCTACTGGTAGAAAGTTTCTATAGATCATCAGTTTTTACAGAATGGATGCTTGCTTAGTATGGATTCTGTTATCTTGCTTTTATTTGAAAAACAATTAATGGTTGGAACACTGGAAGCACTTCCCCCGAATGTTAGAGTTACCTTTTAGATCAGCAATTGGGTAAAAATTGTTGAATTACCTGTCTCTCAGCAAGAGAGAGAGGAATCAGGAAGATCATGCTGAATTTTGTTGCGGGGTCTTATCTGATGCTTAAAAATCCTATGTGCCTGGGAGTCAAGAACATTGATAGACATAATATTTCTCCAAATGAGTTCATACAACAGAATTTATAATAATTGATGGCTTTACTAGTAATAATTATCATTAAAATTGGTTTGTGAACAAGGCTGAAGATGAGCATTTTCCAAGAAAGGAGACACTGAAGAGTATGAACTGTCCTCCCCAACTAGGTATTGGAAAGCTGCTTTTCAAGTGTGTATATTATCTCTAAATTCATACTTGATTTAGAAGAATAATTTTAAAATTCCCCTTGATACTCTCCCTCTCCCTTCTTTTTTGTAGTGTAGCCAGATTAAAGGACAGTTTCAACTACAGTAAGTAAATAATCTCCAATTTAACTTTTCTTGTATTCCAACTTAAGCATATATATTCATTAAAATATGCATATTTTATTAAATACTGGAATATCCATATGGGGACATCTAAGATGTGTTTCTATATTTAACCTTTTATATCTTTTTCCCCTGGTGATTCTTATTAAATAAGAAACAGAAAAGGAAAGAAAGAATTTCCCTATAATCTCTCTTCCACACCCTTCCTTACTACCCCCCTGCCCCATCCCATCCCTCCAAAGACAGCACAGCTCAGAGACCAAATGTTGAGGATGGATGTCTTCTGTTGAGTGCATTTGGTTTGTTAACAATAATTTCCTACTACACCAAATCATCAGACAACATGCCCGAAATGGCCTATTTAAAAGGAGTCTGGTTTCAGCATTTCTGGCCCTTACTGCTAACAATTTAATCAGGAGCTGGAGCCAGTGTTGAAGCTGATGGAGTCTAGCATCTGAAACAAAAATTCTCAAGTCCTTTGTGGTAGAGGAGGAGAAAAGAAAGAGCTTAGCTGCTGACACTCTGCAGACCCCCTTAAAACTAAACACCTGAAAGCAAATTTCAAGAGGGTCATGTCTTGAGAGCTCAGAAGGAAAAGTGTCTTCAGAGTATTAAATAACCATAATCCCCCCCGCCACCCCTTCTCCACCCCCATTTGATGTTTCCCATCCCAGTGACCTATCTGAAAGACTCATCCATATGATCTGTATAAACAGACTGTTACCATACACCACCTCTCTTTTCCTCATCAAAGCTTCCTCTGGCCGTCTGGAACCGGGCACTACCCCGAGTAGCCATCAGGCGGGTGGTGGTGAAAGTTATAAAACATCCACTGCCGAGCTAACCGAGCCGCCTGTGTTTTAGAGATTGGCTCATTGTGTACTTTGGAATTACACGAGGAAAAATGTGCTTTGACAGAAAATAATTAGCGCTCGCCAAAGGCCAAGCAATAGGTTACAGTATTTTACTTTCATCAAAGCTGTCAGGGGATCAGTTAGATTAGATAATAGAAATTTTTCCTCCGAAAGTTAAATACAGATGACTCTAATTACCTTCTATTGCACATTGGAGAATGCATGATGAGTAGTACAGCCTCAAGAAATGGGGGTCAGCAGAGACTCTGCTGCCGGCAGTGGCTGCAATAGGGGTCCATTGTCATAAAGAGCACCCCCCCCCCCCCGCAGCCCCTCTGCAGTTCCTCTGCAGTAGTGATATGAGGGAGAATGTTTTAAAGCCAAACTTGTAACTGGGTTTTAAAATACTTCTCTCCCTCTCAGGCCCACAGCTGAGGCATTGTTTGGACTCCCTGAAGTCTCTTAAACTGAAAGCATATGTTCCCTGTAATTTCACTTTTTGAGCAAAGTGTCACTTCTGCATGACTCGGGGTAACTGAGTTTGTCACAGTGTCACACAACCCGGTGATTCCAGAGGCACATCTGAATGCTGTGGGTCGCCTTCCCCAAGCTTGGTAATCCCATAAACAACCCTCTCCAAATAGGCTTATTAGGGCTGTCTATTCACTTCCCCCGAGTTGAATGATCCCAAGTACATCAGGAGAAGCTGTGTGAATGCAGGGTAAGTGTTAACAGAAGTGGTACAGAATTTCTGAAGATTTGGCTTTGTTTATACAGTCCACTCTGCCTGATGGACAGCTTGTTATAGCTTTTAAAGAACTGGGCGAGCCCTCTGATCTGACCCCTTCTTGACCTCCGCAGCCCAAAGGTCAGTCTGCAGCTAATAAACCCTGAGGTTCTTAGGGTCTACTGTAGGAAAAGGCAGAAAAAGAGCAGCTGCAGGGACTGGGTGTCCTGGGCGAGGCTGCTTTAGGGTCACTCTCTGATAATGAAAATGATTACCAAATTATATGGAGGTTTAACCACAGTAGTGAGAGAGAAGAGGGTGGAGCCCTGTGTATTAGGTCTGATAAATGAACTGTGAAGAAGGCCCATCTGGCTCCCAACGTCTTGTCTCCCCCTCTCTCCCTACCAAGGGGAAACATTTTAAAATAACAGCAGTACATATAGACTCAATGACCCATGCAAGGAGCTGGAATGGATTAAGATTTAATGGTGACAGTGGAAGAAATTATCATTTGAAAAGTGCGCTGAAGAAAAGGTACAGCTCCGTGTCCGTGCCCGAGTTGTTTTTCTAAATAAAATACAGCAAAACATCGGCGCCTTGGTTTATTTTCCACAAATCCCTAGTGTCTTTCCTCGACTGTGGAGAATTTTCAGGGCATGTCTATTGTGGAATAATTATCCGTAGTCAGCTGGAGGAGAGGAATGGGCTTCCTTTGCCTTGAACATGGTGGAAGGAGAATCAGATATTTTGTTTTCAGATTGCTCACTCAGTTGAGCGAATATAGGTAAATCAAGTGTTCGGGAAAATGCTCTACAAAAAAGCTACGATCCACTTCAGCCCCTGGCCACCAAATATTGTGCACTTTTGGATCCTAGATGTACCTGTTACTCTCAGACACACAACTTCGTAATTTCTTGTCTGTAAAAGGAAGATGAAAGCACGTAATGTCCATTGAGTAGATAGAGTTGTTCCTTTCTTTATTCCTTTTTCAAAAAAGCATCATAGCAATGCTAGTTGCCAGCGGTGGGCAGGTCATAAGCTGTATGTTCCCTTCCTGTTCACTGATAGGAGTAATCTACTTAAAGCTCTCTCCCAGCTTCCTGGGAAGAGTGTCCTGGCATCTGAACTGTGATGTTGGGCTTCACTAAGCTCTGTGCTCTCCTTCGGAGACGGTGGGCACGGCTATGACTCTGTGTTCTGAAATAAGAATGAGTTTATTTCATGAACATTTTTGTGTGTTTCCTGTATATACCACACACAAAACACCACATAAGATGCCATGGGGGAGACATTGTGTTCGACAGCCAGTTGAAGAATGTATCTGGGGATGAGATTCTAGCAAGTTCCCAGAAAAGGGGGGTGTGGAAGGGAGTGGAAAGGAAGGTGGTGGAACCATCCTGAAACCACAACGGAGAGGCAAGTTGCTCCAACCCACTCAGGAGAATATTTCACTGTATACATCATTGCAGACCAGAATTGCTGTGCTTTTGAAAAGCCTCTTATGTTGAACTACACTGTCTACACATACAACTGTCACTCAGACAACAGTTATATTTAAAATGGAAACAAAAAACTAATAAACATAATCCAAAGTCAGTATATGTTTCATTTTGGATTTTGACTGGACCTTGTTCTGCGTGTGGGAAACTACAGTGAGCTGAGAGCTAGGTGGAGGCTAACACAGGGAGTTGAGGGACACTCGTCTGATTTTAATGCTTTTTAGCTTGGAAACAACACCTTTAAATTTGTGCTGAGTAAGATGCAAATACAACAACATAAGACGAAAGCCAGGCCATTAGGTTTTTTTTTTTTTCAATTGAGATATAAATTCACAAACTATAAAATTTCATGTAACATAAAATTAGTCATTCTAAAGTGTACATTTAAGTGATTTTTAAAAGTATACTCGCAAGATTGTGCAACCATCACCATTATCCCATTCTGGAGCATTTCCATTACCCCAGAAAGAAACCCCAGAGCTGCTAACAGCCACTCTCAATGCCCCTTTGTCCCCTTGTCCCTGGCAAGCACTAACCTACTTTCTATCTCTATGGATTTGCCTTTTCTGAACATTTTATATAAATAGAACCCTACGCTATATGACTTTTTGTATCTTGCTTCTTTCATTTAACATAGTGCCTTCAGAGTTGATCTGCGTTGTAGCCTATATAAGGACTCTGTTCTTTTTCATTGCCAAGTAATATTCCACTGTAGGAATAGACCACGTTTTGCTTATGCATTCTTCACTTACCAGACATGTGGGTTGTTCTTTGTGCTGTTCTGCTCTGAGTGTAAACCCAGGAGTGGAATTGCTGAGTCATATGGTCACTTGAGGACTTGCCAGACTGTTTTCCACATCTGCCACCCTGTCTTACATTCCCAGCAGTAGTGCACAGGGCTTGGAGTTTTCTCCACAACCTCACCAACACTTACTCTCCTTTGTTGTTTGGATGGTAGATATCCTAGTGTGGTTTTGATTTGCATTTCCCTGACGATGAATGATGTCTTGAACATTTTCTCATTGGCTCCCTTAACCATTTAGATTCTTACCGGGAGATTTAAGAACACAACTGATGTAAGCATGCACCCCCGTTACTTGGAGAGAAACTCACGAGCCCATTAGGAGTATTCGGCTTAGTGAGGGGCCAGGGCTCCAAATGAAGCTGTTGTGAGAGTACAGCTGGGCCCATCCCCTAGTTTCTGTAGGCAGGCCCAGCCCTTGGCTTATTTGCAGGTGGCCCTGCATATTTGTTTTGGAAAACCCCCACCTCATTCCTTCTCCCATTCTCCTCCATCCCTTTCGTTACAGCCTCTCGGAGCCATTGCACACTGGATAGGAATGTAACTGAGTAAACAGACACTCTATTTACAGCTCATCCACTTCTAGGCTCAGAAGATCATCGATAGTCCCATCGTAGACAACTTCATTCGGATATGAGGAGCCTTAAAATGGTGCTGAGAACAGTTTCAAAACCGTTTATGGCCATTTCTTAGGAAAACTTTCAGAACTACTTACTTCCAGTCAAAATTAACTCTCTAGATCTTGATGACTTTATATACGTCTTCCGCATATTGGGCTTTGTCAGCTCAGAGAACTGCCGAGTTAGCCCTTTTCCTGGACAAGAGAACCATCTTGTTATTAACCATCTCCACTGTAACCTTTACCATCTGCACTTACCTCCAGGACAGATCCACTTTGGACATCTTTGTTACGACTCCAAAATCCAGCTGTTAGAACCTTTCCTACAGTGAATGAGCTTCAGAACTGTGATCTGGGTGCAGCAAGTAAAACAGTTTGTGTATAACTTCGGTGGATCAGCTCTGGTCCCAAGACTAGCACAGGAAAGTTTTTCTCCATGGATATGTGGTTTCTCCTTTTGCCTCCTGGCAGGCCTGAATCA